ACAAAGTGGGCCTTCAGTCAGAATTAGTGGAGACATCGGATGCTAAAGAAGTTCACCAGAAAGTGAATGATTACGTCTCGCAAGTGATAAGGATTTGGCCGAATAGGGATGTCATTGAATTTGATTTCGTTGTCGGACCCATTCCTGTGGACGACAAGTTCGGCAAAGAGATTATCTCCCGATGGGAGACAAACCTCACCACAAATGGACACTTCTATACCGATGCCAATGGACGACAACTTCTGGAGCGAAGGCGTGACTATAGGAAGACATGGAATTATAACGTTAATGAAGAAATTTCCGGAAATTATTATCCAGTGAACAGTCGTATAGCCATCAAAGATGAGAAACAGGACATTCAGGTGACTGTTTTGAACGATAGGTCACAGGGAGGCAGTAGTATTAAAGACGGATCCGTTGAACTCATGCTTCATAGAAGGGATCTAATAGACGACAATTTTGGTGTCGCGGAAGCACTCAATGAGCCCGGAGTTGATGGTAAAGGTCTTCAGGTTAGGGGAAAGTTTTGGGTCGTTATCACGAGTTTAGCCGAAGCGGCGGAAGTGCACAGAGAGATGGCGTATGATATTCTTCTGGAGCCTTCACTCACTTTTGCCAAAATTAGCGGATCTGTTGAAGAATACGTGAAGAGCCATAAAACCCAATACTCGGGTCTAACGAAAGAATTGCCAAAAAATGTTCACTTATTAACGTTAGAGCAGTGGAAGGGTTCGTCATATTTGATACGTTTAGAGCACTTCTATCAGCAAAAAGAGTCGCAAAGTCTGTCCAAATCGGTAACCGTTGACCTGAAAGAGCTGTTCACACCGTTTGTTGTGACTCAAGCGGTGGAGACGACACTGAGTGCCACCAAAGATGTAAAAAGTGTTAAACGATTGCAATTCGAGTCAAACGCCGATAAGAATCGTTTCGAACCGAAAAGAGTTGAGTTAAACGCCGACGACTTGACCGTCACTTTGAATCCAATGGAAATCCGGACTTTCATTATCACTACTAAACCCCGATAAATGATAACAAATTGTACCTAAAATTAAGCAAAGATAATGTGTAATATTTTTGGATTAAAAATTAATTTGCTATAAAATACAAGAATAAATATAATATTTTTTAAATATAAAAAAAGTGACGAAATCAATTGAATAAACAAAATATATTTTCAAATACTTTATGATTGAGTGTATAAAATATTTAATTTCCGTTTTGTTTTATAATTTGATTAATTGAAAAAGTGATTTAAAGAAATCTATAAATAATCTCCTAATTAATTATAATCTGTAACAAATTTTTATATTTAGTTTAATGTATCCAACAATATTTTACTTTCTTTATAACTTAGAATTAATGTTAAATAAAATTAACCTGGGTAAAGAATCGTTTTCAACCTGCAAATAAATAATAATAAATTCTTTATATGAATTTATGTTCACATATTTGTTTATAACTTATAAATACTGTAAATACAAATACTGTATTTGAATTGTAGTAAAATGTTATAAATATACGTATTCCTTGTTAGAACAATATCGTTTACTAAATATACAAATTATCAAATATGATAACACCACCAAGTTAATTAGTAATTAATAATTATCGATATGACATCATTTATAATACATTTACACAAAATACAAATGTGTGTAAATTGATTAAAATTAAAAAAAAACAATTATAACTTATAATTTATAAGTATAAATACAGAACGGCCCCGAATTTGCCATTTCATTGGTGCTGTAAAAAATATGTGCCAAAATCGAGTTCTGCCAAAATCGAAAATAGGAAAATGTGTAAAAATCACATTTTTGAGGTTTAATTTACTCTTTGGGACTTAATTTTCGAAATTTTGTTTGAAGTGATGCACTATTCACTATATTGTGGCACAATTTCATTATAATAGACATTTTTGTCAATGAATTTAATGACTTTTCATTTTGTTTCAAAAGTGCAATCCCTTCTCCGCTTATATGCCGACATTTTCACTCAAAATTACACAAATGTGCTAAAATTGAAGCATTGATTATGCTGTACTGACAGTGATAAAGCAATGCTAAAATCGAAATCTGCCTAATCGAAAGTGCTAAAATCGATTACATTTAACATTACAGTATGCATAGGGCTCGCCGGTGCTAAGAAAATCTTATGCTAAAATCGCGTGTGCCAAATTCGGGGCCGTTCTGTAGCTATAATTCAGTCATTTATAGTAACTAATTTTAGCATAGTGATAGTCCGGGTAAAAGCATAATAATTATGCAGTGGTAGGTGATAATGCTAATGGGATAATGGGAACAATTCTTATCTAGATAACTGTAATATTACTTCGGTTTGATTTGTTTAAAAAAAACTATTCACTGTCCTTTGTTAGTGCAGTTAGTTTAAGTCCATTTAATTATAAAAATTTGTTCAAATGAACATAAAATGAACTAGTTTTTATCACCGTATTGGTTGAGTGTTTTGTTATATAACAAATTAGTATAGTGACCAAGGTACCTGTTTCTAGTATATAATTTATGCAATTATTTAATAAGTTAGTAATATTAGTTATGAAATAATAATACATTGTTTTTGTACACTTGCAATAATCATTAAACCATTATGAAATACTTTTAAAAGTGTAAGTCTATGACATGAATTGCATAATCCCTTTCCAACTCCTCCAAAATAATGGAAAAGCGTTCAATGAATTGAGAAATATTTTTTAGAGAGATAATTACATTTTAACATTAGATAAATTTCGTTTTAATAGTATATAAACAACTGACTACTATTCGCACAATACAAACCACCAATTAAATGGCTTTTCCGTTGGCATTGATTTTATTAGGACTAATCGGGTGGGCAGTGTGTCAGCCGCAATTAGCACCGACCAAATGTGTGGACAACGGCCAGTGCAAGCAAATAGATCCGACACAACTCAACGTACATCTGGTTCCGCACACTCACGATGACGTCGGTTGGCTCAAGACTGTCGACCAGTATTTCTACGGCACCAGGAATGGTGACCAAAGGGCGGGCGTCCAGTATATCATCGACTCAGTAGTGGAGCAGTTGCTAAAGAACGAGACCCGAAAGTTCATCTATGTTGAGACGGCATTCTTCTGGAAGTGGTGGCAATTGCAGACACCTGAACATCAGGAGAGGGTCAAGAAGTTGGTTAACGATGGTATGAATTGCTGTTTTATTTAATGATTTAACTGAAGAGTAAATGTCTTTTACTATATATTTCTATTCTTTTATTTGCAATAATATAAGCAATTATTTTGAACTTGATTTTGGATAAAATTCAGTCATAAATTTGCATTTTATTTACAATTCCGAAAACCAACTAAAATTGAAAGTATAAATTGAATATTTATTAAAATTAAAAAATATTTATTAAGAAAATTAATAACATTTATAATACTGTTGTCTTTAATATGAATTAATATACTTTTAAGATTTTAGGGTTTAATTTAATTTATAAAATAATAATTCTATAAATTCATTGCAATATTAACAATTGATAATCAGAAACACTTAAAAATTTTATTTTAATAATTGAAAAACAGATTTAAGGATTTGACAAATGTTTTGTTATTAGAGAAACAATAGATAAATATAACTAAATTGATAAGTGAAATGAAATACAAGTTATTGTAGGTCTTACTGATTATTTACAAAGTTGTAATCTATTGATAATATATACCAAAAACAGGTCAATTGGAGTTCATAAACGGCGGGTGGTGTATGAATGATGAGGCGGCCGCTCATTACCAGTCCATTGTAGACCAGATGACTTGGGGTCACCGACGCCTTCAGGACACGTTCGGTGAGTGCGNCAAAAACAGGTCAATTGGAGTTCATAAACGGCGGGTGGTGTATGAATGATGAGGCGGCCGCTCATTACCAGTCCATTGTAGACCAGATGACTTGGGGTCACCGACGCCTTCAGGACACGTTCGGTGAGTGCGGTATCCCTCGCATCGGGTGGCAGATCGACCCCTTCGGTCACAGCCGAGAACAGGCCTCACTCTTCGCGCAGATGGCGTTCGACGCCGTCTTCTTCTACCGAATCGATTACGAAGACCACAACATTAGAGTGAAGGAGAAGAGGATGGAGTTGTTATGGCAGGGAAGCGATGACTTGGGAAAGGCTTCAGATATATTCACTCACATTATGGAAATGGGTTACGGTATGTGTTTTGACCATAAGTTTCATTTCAATTATTAAATAATTAAACAATATTAATAAGTATATAATATAGTTACATTAATTATACCATTTCAGGTCCACCCCCGGGTTTCAACTGGGAAACAGCTCGAGACAACCCATCCGATGACGCAATCATCGACGATCCCGAGTCCGAAGACTATAATGTGGACAAAATTGTGGACAAGTTTATCACTTATGCCAAACAGTACTCCAACTATTACTCCACGAATAATGTATTGTTTCCAATGGGAACCGACTTCTGCTATGAAGACGCAAACGCGTGGTTCAAGAATATGGATAAACTTATCAAATATGTGAACGCGAGGAAAGTCAACGGATCTAATGTTAATGTTTTCTACTCGACTCCAACCTGTTATCTAAATGGTATACATCAGGCGAACCATACCTTTACCACAAAGTCGGACGACTTCTTCCCATATGCATCGTATTATCACTCTTATTGGACGGGATATTTCACGAGTCGACCGGCGCTCAAACGCTATGAAAAGGTGGGCAATAATGCTCTTCAAGTGTGCAAACAATTGGATGTCTTGAGTCTCGGGAACGGCAAAAATGAGGACAAAATAACGCCATTACGGGAATGGTTGGGAGTTATGCAACATCACGACGCTATCGCTGGTACTGAGAAACAACACGTATCCGATAATTATGCCCTAAAACTGTATAAGACTATAGAGAAGTGTCAATCAGTAGTCGATGAGTCTCTGAATATATTGATTGGCGATAAAAATTTGAATCAATTGTTTTGCAATCAACTGAATGTCAGCGCCTGTGCTGTCACTGAAGGCACCGACAATATAGCGGTCACTCTATATAACGCATTCGGACATAATGTCAATCATGTGGTAAGACTTCCCGTCACATCAAAGGCTTACAAAGTGTTTGACCCGAAGGGAAATGCTGTCAAATCAAATATCGTAGCCATTCCTGAATCAGTTCTCAGTCTTAAAGAAAGAAAGAGTAAAGCAAAGCTACTCAACCATAAACTTCGAGTCCACGGCCGTGAGCCTAAGAGATGAATAAACAACTTTCGTTTGTCGCGACTTTTATAACTTTTACTTCGCTTTTAGTGGTTTTATAGCCTGCGAAAATGATATTAATCCAAATCATTAAACATAATGTTTGACAAAACGGGAGCTTTAAATGCAATTCAGTTGAAGAACGGAAAAGTTGTTGACTTTAAACAAAACTTTGAGTTTTATAAAGCAAAGGATAATAACGATGATTTTCATCAGCCATCGGGTGCTTATGTCTTCAGATCAGATGGCGATTCCCCTCAACTTTACAATACAACTACACTTCAGGCAGATTTGATCGAGACATGCCTACACTTTCTTCAAGCAGTTTCTCAGTCACTAATACAGAGTGTTCACTATTCCTAAACCGGCTTGTTACTATACTAACTCAAACTGAAACAACAGCCTGGGTAAGGACACCTGCTGTTCTAGCCTAAAGAGATTATCTCCCGATGGGAGACAAACCTCACCACAAATGGACTCTTCTATACCGACGCTAATGGACGACAACTTCTGGAACGAAAACGAGACTTTAGGCCCACTTGGAAACTAACGGTCTATGAAGAAATTGCTGGAAATTATTATCCCGTCAACAGTCGGATAGCTATTAGAGATGAGAAACAAGACATTCAAATGACTGTTTTGAACGATAGGTCACAGGGAGGCAGTAGTATTAAAGACGGATCCGTTGAGCTTATGGTTCACCGAAGAGATCTCTACGACGACCACTTTGGTGTCGCGGAAGCACTTAATGAGCCGGGAGTTGATGGTAAAGGTCTTCAGATTAGAGGAAAGTTTTGGGTTCTCTTCACAAGTATAGCCGAAGCGGCGGAAGCGCACAGAGAGATGGCGTATGATATTCTTCTCGAGCCTTCATTCACTTTTGCCAAATATAGCGGTTCTCCTGAAGAATATGTGAAGAGCCATAAAACCCAATACTCGGGTCTAACGAAAGAATTGCCAAAAAATGTTCACTTATTAACGTTAGAGCAATGGAAGGGTTCGTCATATTTGATACGTTTAGAGCACTTCT